GTCCCCCGTCCTCTGCTTGTAGTCATTGATGTAGAGAGCGATCAACAGGGAAGGGGGGAGGGGGGAGGGGAGAGGGGGAAAATCGCTCAGATCGCCCCCTCCCCTTTCTCAAAAAGCCGCCCTTTCATCGCCGTTTGGTCACAATGCCGAGAGTTTTATTTTTTGTTTTAGTTTTTATTAATTCATTTTGGATATTGAAATGCAATTGGCGGGAATTAAAAACTGAAAATCAAAAATGTCTTAAAAAATTGAAAATACCAGGCGTTCCTCCGCCCTTTGCTACTCCGAAAATAATATTTCAGGTTGGAAAGCCTTTGATGGTAACCGCTACAAACGCTCGAGGAAAAGAACCTGAAGAACTGTTGACGTGAGTTTTTCTGTTTTTTCAAAAATATCTTTTTGGATATTCTGCTTTTGCATATCACATTTTTTATTCACTGGAATTTCGTGAAGATCTAATTCGCGCCAAAAAAAAGATAGAATCTATTACCAGAAGTACCAAAACTTAAATATGACTCAATTGGACCGAAATGTCTTATCTCATTTTTGCCTTCTTTTCTCATACTGTAGTTGCATTCTGTATTAATTGTCGTGCCTTCTACACATTGGCTTGCCAGGATCAATCTGGATGCTACAATTGGCTGAGTAATATTTCTAAGATTAGATTTTCTTGCCGATTGGCAAACCGTTTCTTGATAAAATTTATGAACGTTTTTTTTTTTCAAAAATATCTTTTTTTTTGGATATTTTAAGCAGCAAATGCATCACAACAATCTAAGAAAAAAGACTTACATTTAGCGATCAGTAACAGCAGAAATCGCTCGTGAAGATGATGATAATACAGAATGATAATACAGAATAATGATAATACAAATAATACAGAATAATGATAATACAGATAATATAGAATGATAATACGGAATAGTGATAATACAGATAATATAGAATAATGATAATACAGATAATACAGAATGACAATACAGAATGCACTCACTTGTAACTATGATTTTACCAGGCCCTTCAGTCCTGGCTTGTATTCCCTCAGTCAGTACCTATCACATTTTCAATATTTGTGCACCATTTCTGCTAAAACTGCTGGGGCGGTCGTTTTTTTTTTGGGAGAGAGGGGGGGGGGTACAACGCATGCAAGGTCCAACAGTTATCGGTGAAATGAGTAACATGCCCTACTCACTGGATTTCACTTCATGCGTGGTCGCAATAATATTCTGCACACGATTGCTGATCTGATGAAGAATTTGATTGCTTGTGTTATGTTTATAAATGGACATTCAGACGTCTTCATCATCCTCCTGTTGACTTTTCCATCACTGCCAGTGCTCGCTCTTCAGCTTTCGTCAATTTGAGGTTAAAAGAAAAATATAAGAATGATGATGGAAAAATATAAGAATATCCGTAATATAAGATATTATTACGGTATAAGAGTATCCGTAATAATATCTACGTCAGCTGTGTCTATGTAGTTACATTATTCGTAATATAAGTTGCATTTTTTTAAATTGCTAACAATCGGATCGCGTATTTTAGAGGTGATGTTAAGCCGAAGCTCGATTTGTTCCGTACATGCATCGCTGCAATGCCTCGGCTTCTTCCGGAATTGATGAGTCATTCGGTGTGTTATTTTAATTATTGAGAAACTAATCATGAGATTGGAGCATTCTGATTTTGAAGGAGGAGAATTTCAATTGAAAATTTGCATGGAGGTGTTTTTGATTTTATCAATATGTATGAGATTAGGAGGCATTACATTGACATTTATTGGCTACTTGCCTCTTTTCTGCTAACGGAATGAGTTTCGTGCATTTGTAGTCGGAGAAATTTATGAATTTTTTGGTTTCCAAAATTTAATTTGTTCAAATTGATCTACAGAAATTTGTTGATGTAAATATAACAAAGTCAGATTTTTTTTTGCAGGAATTAGTAGAATTATTGATGCGAATGAATATGCACATTGATGAGGAGATTCGCGCACACGCAGCACAAACCCTGCAAACGTTGATGAGTGAGTGCGTGGAATGGCGTGAAGAAATCATCCATGCATTCCTGAACTACATGACAAATCAATTCTCCGTACGACTTTTTTTTCTGTCGCCTATTTATTTATTTGAGGATATTTTATGATTATTGGAATCACTGTTATTGTTGTTATTGTCATTATTGTTCGAAGATATCCCCCAATAATAATATTAATAATAATAATAATAATAAATAATAATAAGCTGGAAGTGACAAGATATTCTCCGAATAATAGTAATAGCGACAATAATAATGATAAAAATAGTAAATTAGCAGTAACAATAATGATGGTAACAGTAACAGTATTGGAAACGGAATTGTGATTTTCTCTTATACGAATCAAGATAATTGTGAAAGAATTGCAATCCATGATAATTTATCTTCAAGCGGAATTTGGTGAACCTCAGGCATTTTTTGTTTTATTTTGTTTTGCTCTTGTGGAATCTAACAGAAAATCGAAAAATGAGCCAAAAATAGAGTAGAAGAGCATATAGAATATTTATGGCAAAATTTATCTTTTACTTTTTTCAAGTGAAAAATACACATTTCTTAAAACAACATTTGCTATTCCTTGGGAGGTTTTTTTTTTTGAAATTTGGATTCCTTGGAAGGATTTTTTTTTGAAATTTGGATTCATTGGAAGGATTTTTTTTTGCGAATTATGAAAATTATTTTTTAGTTTAAGATTTTCAACCAATATTTATGTTTATTTAAGGATGCATACCCATTACTGCTTGATTCATTTCTTCGACTACTGTACCAACTTTTATTTTCCTGGAAAACTGCAGCTCAACTGGAAAAAAAGCGTGAAATGAATGGCAGCTTCGATCGTGATAATGCTTTCACAAACCCATTAAGGTAACTTACTTTTCACGTCTTGGTCACTTGCCCTTCTTCAAACTGTTAACAAAATTAGTAGTTTTTGCGTAATTTTTATTTTTAATTGTTATTTTTCTGAAATTTTACGGGGATGTTCCCAGACGTACAATTTAAACGTTTCAAATTCAGCCCCCAGGTGTACGTGGTTCTCTTGTTCGTATAATTTAAACGTTTTAAAATAACCCAAATGTGCGTGTTTCTCACATGTGACCAAAATTGCATCAACTTTCGCTCAGCTTGCTTGCTACTGTTGCTGATTTTGCTCGTTTCTTCGCTTTGTTTTGAGAATTTTTCAGTAAAAAAACTGTTAAGCAATACTATAACAGGTTATTTAGCCAGTTTTTTATTGGAATTGTGTGAAACGTCAAAATCTACGACCATTGAGAGGTCCAGCATTGCTTGAAGCGTCTAAGAAAGTTGAAAAAACTACACAGATGGAGCATCAGACTCTGAATTAACAGCTATTTGAGTTAATACAGCTCTCTTCATGACTTTTTCACATGCTACCCTGTTTTTGAAAATATGCGTCACAACAATCTGGCCCTTTTTTATTTTCCTTCCCTCACTACCCCCTTGGATTCTGGACGACCACCGTCCTACCCCTGCTTATTCATATTGCCTGTAGGGTTGGTGCGACCCCTGCCGGTTCATACCCTTCGCTGAATGGGCCGCTGTTCCGGCCCCTGGTTATTATTCTCCTCCATTTCCTCACAGACCTTTGAGGTCCTTAATAAAAATGTACATTGAAACAAGGAGAATAAAGGAAGTTCCGAAATAAGAATTAAGAAATTTGTAAAATTAGTGAAGCTATTTTAATAAAATTTTTATAATTGGTAAGAAATGTTTCGGTCCATTAAAGCGGAATTTGTTCAAAATTTAATGGTGGGAATGTTTTGGCACTTTCCATGGTATTGTTTTCACTTAATATGACCATTACAGAATGCAAATTTCACCGCTGTTAACAAATTCGGTGGCTATTGCACTTCATGCAGTCGAAGGTTTTGCACTTGCAATGATGTGCCAATACAGAACACAACCAAGAAAGATTGCGATTAGTATTTTGAAAGAAGTAAGTCAAAAAATTGGGTTTTTTTGGCTCGAATTACGAGTGGTACTGAAATTCGATGTCTGGGCACCGTATATTTTTATGCATTTTTTGCAGCTATGCAATGCAGAAAAAGCATATTGACGAGAGGTTGTCTGTGTGTGTCTGTATCTGTGTGTCCGTGTGTATGTCTGTCACGGTTTTTCATCTTTTTTATCTCAAAACCTACAAAAGCTACAGGGCTAAAACTTTGGGGACTTAATCTACATGCACGTACGGGTCCAAATCCCCAAAGTGGGTACCACTGCTCGCGTGGTACTTACATACGAGACCGCCAAAGTTTTTTACGGGTAAGCTGCTAATTCGGGAACCAGAAGTGCTTGGGGGCTGAAATTTTGGAGGAATGTTCTCCGTCCAAGTAGGTATTAATGAGCTCAAACCCAGCCCGCTGGGTAAGCGTGGTACCCGCGTACGAGCCCGCCAAAATTTTTTTCGGGCAAGTTCATAACTCGGGGA